TAATATTGCTTTCTCCAGTGAAAATGTCATCTTGTCTGAATCAGGTTTGAAATATGCACAGACCAAGCAACAAGAGTTAACATTTAAAACGTCTTAATGCTGGATTTGTTTCAGCTTTTGTCTTCTCCAGATGTGAACTGATGGACTGGAGTGCTGTGGATTACTTGTGATGTTTTAATCAACTCTCATTCTGACGGCACCCATTCACTGCTGAGCATCCATTGCTGAGACACTGATGCAGTGACACATTTCTCCAAATCTATATTTCTACAAACTCATCAGCTCATCTCAGATGGCCTGAGGGGGAGCATATTTTCAGCAAATTTTCCTTTTTGCATGAACTATTCTTTTAATGAACAGTACCGCATCTGAAGAAAGATCCACAGCTTGACATTTTCTATCCGTTTCTTAAGCAATGCGTAGTCGAATCTGGAGGCCCGTCTCTGCTGAGACTGCTTCTTTTGTTGTAGATGAGAATGCATTGTCATTGGTTCATGACATCACTTCCTGTTCTTAGGGTCTTACCACAGCTCTTCTGCATATGCGGATGGTCTTGTGGTTGGTTCTTTATTTTGTCATGCTCACACTTCAGTGTACCAGCGTCCACATCTGACACTGTTGGCCAGTCACAGACTACTCTTAAGACTCTTGGTTCTCAGCTCATTTAACACATCTGGCAGAAACAATTTTACCCTTAAACATTACCACGTTGCCTGCCGTTCACGCCCCAAGAACAGGATGTGGTCTCATCTGCATTGCTGCATGCAAAAAAAAAGAAAAAAAAAGAAAGCAATCCCATGATGCAGCTTTCTTTTCCTTTAAACTGGTTAACAGTCTTTGAATGCTACTCTCTTTGTTTCTCATTGCATTATTCTGCCGTTCAGTCAAACAGAAAATGTTTTGATTGACAGTGATAACCATGGCAACAGAAAAATATAAAAATATAACATTTGTAAATCTTACCGTGTAAATGCAAATGAATAGATCTGCTACAGCAATATTAACAAGAAAAAAAAAACAAATCAGTGATGATAACTAATAATAATAACAGATTTTGTTCTATTGCATGTGATGTATTTCTTTGTTCTTTATTTTAATATTTTAATGCTTTAATTCACTTGACTTTAAAGCAATGTGCACTTATTCTGAATATACTGGTTGCTGTATTATTGACTTATTATTAGCATTAAAAAAATAACACATTTAATATATATATTTTTTAATGATTTAATATGTAACAGTTCAATCAAATAAAATTGGGAAATTGTACTGGTATTACTAGAAATAGCACTACTAGAAACTAAATAACCAAATCAACTTTTTCAATTATTCCATGAAATGGAATGTACAAATGTTTCATATTTTAAAATACAGATACAAAGACATTAAGCAAAGAAACCTAATTTAACTATCTAGATTTTAATACAATGTATTTCACATTTATGTGTATGTACACATTATTGTATTTAAAAAAAAAAAGATGCCTTGGAAATTTCATACAAAGAAGAGAACCACTGCTTTAGACAGTTTGCATGAATTAACAACAACTTCATTTTCTTTCCAGCGGTTTTATGAGCATCCTGACACAAGTGCTTTGTTCTTAATCAAAAACTGTCTTTAGAGCCTAGTTTTTGTAGATAATGAAGCTTCACAAACAG